GATCATCCTCTGGCTTCCCTCATAGTGCTGCCTGCAACCAGAGAATTCTAAGCTACTAGACAACAGTTCTAATCTTCCCAGTAAAGCAGCAATTTAGCATTCCAGCATGTGACTAAGTTTCCTGGGAAGTTTATTACTGAGTCAGCTGCCTCTATAATTAGTTTTGGAGCCCTGCTGGACTTTCGGGAGATATAATGCTGATTATAAGTATATCCTTCTCTCTCCATCCAGAACCACCCTTTAGACTATAAAGTCAACTGCCCCCATGGGTCATCTGTCAGTCAGCCATGCACTGAAAATACCCCTCTGATATCAGGACCACTCTAAATGTGGCCAGTTCCAATTTCCTTCTTAAAGGACTAGGGAAGATTATGTCTTCCTTTCAGATATAAGTGAGATAATACATATACATACTTATTGCGGTGCTTAGAGCTAATAGATATTCAATAAATGTTTCTTTGCCTTCTCCCCTTACTACAGCTCTGTCAGCACACATGGTTAACCTTTCACATTTCTACTCTCATCTACTAGCATTAGTGACAGATTTAGAGGAAGAGTTCTGAGACTTCAAAGGGTCCCTACGGTATGACCTAAGACTTTCTGAAACACATGTTCATTGAACAGCAATTCTGTTCATTTTTTACTATCAGGGATAAGTACTAAATTTTTTTTTTTTTTTTTGAGACAGAGCCTCAAGCTATCCCCCTGGGTAGAGTGCCATGGCATCACGCTCACAGCAATCTCCAACTCCTGGGCTCAAGCGAGTCTCCTGCCTCAGCCTTCCAAGTAGCTGAGACACAGGCGCCCGCCATAACGCCTGGCCATTTTTTGGTTGCAGCCATCATTGTTGTTTGGCGGGCCCGGGCTGGGGATTCGAACCCGCCACCTTAGGTGTATGTGGCTGGCGCCTTAGCCGCTTGAGCCACAGGCACCGAGCCTAAATATTTTTTTTTTTTTTGGAGACAGTCTCACTTTGTCATCCTCGGTAGAGTGCCATGGCATTGTAGCTCACAACAACCTCAAACTCCTGGGCTCAAGTGATTTTCTTGCCTCCGCCTCCCAAGTAGCTGGGATTACAGGTGCCCACCACAACACCCAGCTATTTTTAGAGACATGGTCTCACTCTGGCTCAGGCTGGTTTTGAACCTGTGAGCTCAAGGAGTCCACCCACCTTGGCCTCCCAAAGTGCTAGGATTATAGGCATGAGCTACCATGCCCAGCCATAAGTACTAAATGTCTTAAAGAACCAGGCCAGCTGTGGTAGCTCACATCTGTAATCTCAGTATTCTGGGAGGCTGAGATGGGAGGATCACCTGAGGCCAGGAGTTTGAGATAAGCCTCGGCAAGACCCTGCCTCTACAAAAAAAATTAACTGGGTATGGTGGTGCATGCCTATAGTCCCAGCTACTTGGGAGGGAAAGGCAGGTGAATCACTTGAACCCAGAAATTCAAGGTTCCAGCAAGCTATGATCATGCCACTACACACTAGCCTGTGTGACAGAGTAAAACCCTGTCTCTAAAAAGAAATGAATGTGTGTGTGCATGCATGTGTGTGTGTATGTGTGTGTATGTGGAAGAATCAACTTAGAAAATATAGGAGAATGGCTCGGCGCCTGTGGCTCAAGTGGCTAAGGCGCCAGTCACATAAGGTGGCGGGTTTGAATCCAGCCCGGGCCCGCCAAACAACAATGACGGCTGCAACCAAAAAATAGCCGGGCGTTGTGGAGGGTGCCTGTGGTCTCAGCTACTTGGGAGGTGGAGGCAGGAGACTCCCTTGAGCCCAGGAGTTGGAGGTTGCTGTGAGCTGTGATGCCACAGCACTCTACCCAGGGGGACAGCTTGAGGCTCCGTCTTAAAAAAAAAAAAGAAAATACAGGAGAAAAATTTCATAATCTTAGGATAGTAAAGATCTGCCTAAGTGTGAAAACAACCTGAATTCATTAAGGGAAAGACAGATTTAAATGATAAAAATTCAAAAACATCTATATGGCCAAAGATAAAGTTAAAAGACAGGTGACTGATGGAGAAGCCATAATTACAAATGCTATTTCATAAAGGAGTGATATCCATAGTATAAAACGTTTCTACAAACATATAAAAAACAAATAGAGGCTCGGCGCCTATAGCTCAACCGGCTAAGGCGCCAGCCACGTACACCTAAGGTGGCGGGTTCGAATCCCCAGCCCGGACCCGCCAAACAACAATGACGGCTGCAACCAAAAAATAGCCGGGCGTTGTGGCGGGCGCCTGTGGTCCCAGCTACTTGGGAGGCGGAGGCAGGAGACTCGCTTGAACCCAGGAGTTGGAGGTTGCTGTGAGCTGTGATGCCACGGCACTCTGTCCAGGGGGATAGCTTGAGGCTCTGTCTCAAAAAAAAAAAAAAAAAAAAAAAATAGAAAAATGAGTAAAAAATATGAACAAGTAATTCACATAAGAAATAGAAATAGCCAGCCAGGCACAGTGGCTTATGCCTATAAACACAGCACTTGAGGAAGCAAAAGCAGTAGGATCACTTGAGACCAGCCTGGGCAACATAGTGAGCCCCATCTCTACACAAAAAAGAAAAAGAAAAGAAAGGAAGGAAGGAGCACGCAGTGGTGGGCACCTGTAGTCCTAGCTACTCTGAAGGATTACGTGAGCCCAGGCTTTGAAGGCTGCAGTGCACTGTGATTGCACCTGTGAATAGCCACTGCATTCCAGATTAGGTAACATAGTGAGACAGAGAAAAAGAAGCAGCAAAGTGAAAAGGAAGGAAGGAAGGAAAGCAAGAAAGGGAGATGGAAGGAGAAGTAAAGAAAAGAAGAAAAGAGAAGAGAAAAAAGAAAAGAAAAAGGAAGGAAGGGAGGGAAAGGAAAGAAAAGAAAAAAAATACAAATGGCCAACAAACACATCTAAATTTGCTTAACTTAGTAATGAAACAAGATACCACATTTGACCATCATATTAACAAATGTATAAAGATTAGTAACATGTGTTATATAAGTGTGAGAAATAAGTACTCTCATAAACTGTTAATGAGCATAAATTGGAGGGCAATTTGATAGCATCTATCCAAATATTAAAAGTGCATAATCTTGGGTGGCGCCTGTGGCTCAGCTGGTAGAGTGCCTGCCCCATATCCCGAGGGCGGCGGGTTCAAACCTGGCCCTGGCCAAACTGCAACAAGGAAATAGCTGGGCATTATGGCGGGCACCTGTAGTCCCAGCTAATCGGAAGGCTGAGGCAAGAGAACAGCCTAGGCCCAGGAGTTGGAGTTTACTGTGAGCTGTGTGATGCCATGGCACTCTACTCTACTGAGGGTATAAAGTGAGACGCTGTCTCTAAAAAAAAAAAAAAGAGAGAGAGAGAGAGAGGAAAGAAGACTTTGTCTCTACAAAAAAAAATTTTTTAGAAAAGTGCATAATCTTTAAATTTCAAATCAATTACTTAATCTTCTATATTAAGATAACAGAAAAAGCAAGATAAAACTAAGGCAAACAGAATGAAGGAAATAATAAAGATTAGAGCAGAAGTTAATGAAACAAATAAACAACAACAGCAAAAAAAAAAAAAAAACCCAGAAAAATCAATAAACCAAAAGTTGGTTCTTTGAAAAGATCAGTAAAAATGTCAAACTTCTGGCTAGGGCCAGGCAGGGTGGCTCACGCCTGCAATCCTAGCACCCTGGTAAGTTGAAGCAGGTGAATTGCCTGAGCTCACGAGTTTGAGACCAGCCTGAGGAAGACCCAGCAAAAGCGAGACTTCATCTCTAAAAATAGCTGGGCATTGCGGCCTGTAGTCCCAGCTACTCAGTAGGCAAGAGAATCGCGTGAGCCCAAGAGTTTGAGTTTGCTGTGAGCTGTGATGCCAGAGTACTCTACTGAGGGTGACAAAATGAGACTGTCTCAAAAAAAAAAAAAAAAAAAGAGAAAAAGAAAAAGAAAACTCCTAACCTCAACCAATCCTCCTACCTCAGCCTCTCAGAATGTTAAGATTACAGGCATAAGCCAATATCATTCTTTTTATTTTTAATTGGGCAATCTGTTTAATGTCCTAAAATATTTATGAGCAGTATCAAACAGCAGACACTAGATAAAAAGAAAACTAAGGAGATAAATCCAAAAAGAATGTAATATATAAAGAAGCATAAAATAACGAATGTTGGATTATATTAAAGAACTAGAGCAGCAGTTCTCAACCTGTGGGTCGTGACCCCTTTGTAACAATGAAAATACATCGTGGCATTAGGAAGGCTGAGAACCACTGAACTAGAAGATGAAAGATACTCTGGATACAAAAAAAAAACCCAAACAAACAACAACAACAACAAAAACGGTAAGATTGAGCTCAGAAATCAGACCTCCATCTCTAGGCACAAACAGGCTGCCCTTTCCAGTCCATACCCTCTGGTCTCTAACAATGTCATGAACAAAGCAGCCTGAAAGGCTCTGGGTGGTTCCACCTTGAATAGGGAACAGCAGCCTAATTCCTTCCCTGAGGCAAAAACTGCAAAGACCTGGCTCGGTGTCTGTGGCTCAAGTGGCTAAGGCGCCAGCCACATACACCTGAGCTGGAAGGTTCGAATCCAGCCTAGGCCTGCCAAACAACAATGACGGCTGCAACCAAAAATAGCTGGGCATTCTGGAGGGTGCCTGTAGTCCCAGCTACTTGGGAGGCAGAGGCAGGAGAATCGCTTGAGCCCAGGAGTTAGAGGTTGCTGTGAGCTGTGACAGCACAGCACTCTGCCCAGGGCAACAGCTTGAGGCTCCGTCTCAAAAAAAAAAAACCTGCAAAGCCGTAATACTATATATACCCCTAGACAAAGAACCCATGCGGGAAACTTCCGACTTGGGTCTTCCCCTTTGCCAGAAGCTCTGTATTTTTACTCCTGTATTCCTTTCTGTCTAATAAATCCTATTTTATCACTAAAAAATAAAAAAAAACAAAAATAGTAAGATTAATGTGATGTTTAAATACAGTAATTGAACTAAATGATGTATGTTAATATGACATAAATAGTAAAAAATACAGAATTCTTCACAAATTTGTGTGTCACCCTTACACAGTGGCCATGCTAATCTTCTCTGTCTCATTCCAATTTTAGTGTATGTGCTGCTGAAGTGAGCACCCAGTATCATTCTCAAGAGGTGACATTTTCTCCCTAAGGAAAAAGCCAAAGATTTCTTCTCTTACAGCAGCTATCACTGCACTGGTAGTTCTAATAAGGGCAATTAGGCAAGAAAAAGATCTACTGTGAGACCTAATGAAAATAATGCACATTGATTTTTTTCCCCAGCCAAATTAGCATTATTTGGGGGGTGATAAATGTGGTTACTGCTGGAGCCTAGAACCCTACATTTTCAGTGGCTCCCACTGATGGGGTTTTCACACCAACTGACTTATCTACTTACTCATTCCCTGACTTTTGATTTCCTGCTTAGAGACTGGACTTGCTGAAAGTGTCTAAAGTTTAAGTGAGTGTAGGTTTCTCCAGTATGACTCAATCTTGGCTTCCAGGGTCCACTGACAGTCACTCCAGCTCCACACAGCTCACTCCAATGGAGGCAACACTTAACTATCCTACAACAAAGCCATTTAGCCATACTGAGCATGTCAGAACTCCTGGGCAGAAAGAGACCAGATAGTGTCCAAGCTGATCCTTCATCTCATTTCTCAGTAAACTGAGACCCAGAAAGAAGATGCAACTGCTCTCAGATTACTCAGTAGGTTGGCAACAGAGCTAGACTTTAGGGTTTAGCATCCTGGATTCCAAGCCTCTACATAGAGTAAAGCCGGTTATTTATAGGCCTGTGCCTTAGTTTTTCTATCAACTCATCAGGCACACAACCCTGAGTACAGACTGACCCCAACTATACTCAGCCCACTCTCCACCCTTTTTTTTAAACCACGTACCCTGTCACCTCCTGAGATTCCACCAAACATTCAATGATCTTTCTAGCTCCTCTTCCTAATCACTCAAGTGTTTGTGGTCTATGATAGCCTTTCCCCAGAATACTGACAAAAAATGTCCAGCAGAAGAGGAGAAGATTGTGGGCAGTCACAAAGTCCTTGCATACCTGATACATGGCAACACAACTCCAGCTTCCCAGTGTTGTGGGACAGAGGCCTTCTCCTTGTGGTGCAGGGTAGGTCTGTCCACATAGGCCGGACCATAATTTCCACTAGACCCAGTGGTCACAGCTTCACACCTTTCCCTTTTCCTTCTCCTGCTTCTGCCCCAAGACAGATAAAAAAAAACTCCATTTGGAAGAAATTTACCATGTAGCCTACAGGCACTGATTAAGTGCCTTCTATGCCCAAGGCGATGAAGAGTTAGGCCTTGATCAAAAGATATTCAAAGTACTGAGATTACCATAGACCTTACCTCACCCAGTCCTCTCATTAACCCCATGAGGTAAGAAATTAACTCCTCATTTTATACAGTTAAGAAAATCTTGGGTGGCACCTGTGGCTCAAAGGAGCAGGGCGCAGGCCCCATATGCCAGAGGTGGCAGGTTCAAACCCCAAAACTGCAAAAAAAAAAAAAAGAAAGAAAGAAAGAAAGAAAATCTTGCTGTGGGTCCTCAGGAGCAATGCAGTAGCTCCGACATGATTCCCTGTGCCCAGAATGCCCTGGTAGGTCACCACTGACTGTTGTGGAATGCAGCAGGAGAGAGGACACATGAAGTGGAATAAGATGAAAGGAGTGGGGTCACAAGTTGAATGCGCCTCATCTGCTGGATCTGTACTGCTTTTGTCACTGCAATCACTACCTCTAAAGTCATCTTATCATTTATGCAATTCAGCGGACTTCTGAATCTATACAAAAAGAGGCATGTCCATGGAAGGTAGCTACAGAGACAGTGAAAGGGTGATTTAAGGGTGGGAAGGAAGTTCCTGAGAGGCTCATGGCATGGGTAAAGATTTGTCACACAAGGAGTAGGAGTAGGTTTCTTTGATGGCTACATGCAATGTTTCTATCAACTGATCCACAGTTTTAGATTAACACAATTTTCAACTCAGGATTTTAAAACTAGGATCTTTGCCATTTTACAGGTTTGGCTTTACATACAAAGGGAGAAGGAACAGAAAGTTCTTACTTTGTGTAAACCAACGCTGGAAAGGTAGGTGGGGTGTTGAAAGAACCCCAGTAATACTCTTTTCCTGGACACTGAATGACTTCAGCAGGAACTGGCCTGAGGCAATCATTTACAGGAAAAGTCTTATATCCAGAGAGGCCATGCAGCCTCTGGCATAGGGAACCTCCCTCTCTCTCTCTCTCTCTCTCTCTCTCTCACACACACACACACACACACACACACACACACACACGCTATGGGCTGGAAGTATAAATATGAGGCTCCAAGATAGGTTTGACTGGCCCTTAGAATCCACGTTCTTTAAAAGCCAGGAATTTCCAACAACAACAACAAAAAAGCGAGGAATTGCCAGTGGGGTTCACACCTGTAATTCCAGCATTCTGGGAGGCCCAAGCAAGTGGATCGTCTAAGCTCAGGAGTTTCACCAACCTGAGCTAGAGCAAGACATCGTCTCGGGGGCGAGGGGAATAGCCAGGCATTGTGGTGGGGTAGCTACTGTGGAGCTTTTGTAGTCCCAGCTACTCCAGAGGCTGAGGCAAGAGAATTGCTTGAGCCTAAGAGTTTGAGGTCGCTGTGAGTTATGACACCACAGCACTCAACCCCAGGGCAACTGAGTGAGACTCTGTCTCAAAAAAAAAAAAAAAGCAAGGAATTTCCCATCTAGGGCCTGTGAATGATTCCAAACCTCCAAACCTCTTAGAAAGCAATGCGGCAGTATGAACCAGTGTTGTTAATATGATCATATCCTCTGGCTTAGAAATTCCTCTTCAGGCATATATCTCAAGGAAGTAGTTCAACAGAAGCAAAGAGCCACACACTACAAAAATGTTCATCTGTAGATTAGCTAAGACTGTGGAACCTGGAATGGTATAAGGGAATATCCATAGGGATACTAAAGAGCTACAACAAAAGACAATTAGGATAATTATAAACAATATAACAGTTTATAAGATAACACTGGACAAAAGTAGTAGCTGGATGTAAACAGTTTCACTCTATGATTGAAAGAAAGTAAAATATGTATACATTTGGAAAGTAATACCAAGTTTTGTTACAATAGTATATAGAATATTTTTAACATTTAGTGTATCAATTTTGTATTTTCAACTAGAAAAAATAAGAAATGCTATAATATAGTGCAAAAGCCAAAATATTCGCAAATAAGAGATATCACTACTACCAATAATAATAAGTAACATATATTTAGAGTTTATTCTGTCTTAGGCACCGTTTTCAGCCCTTTTGTGGCTACTACCTAAACTTCACAATATCTACAGGTAGACACGAGTATTATTCCCATTTTACAGGTGAGAACACTTAGGCACAGAGAGGGCAACACTTTCTTAAACCAAACAGCTAGCTGTGAGACAGAAAGAAACTTCCTGTGTCAATTCTAAGGAACATACACCTGCTTAAATCCTTATTCCTAGACAGACATGGCAAAATCCTCAGCAAAAGTCTCACAAGTAAATGAGGAGCGAGCTTCAAAAGGAGTTTCAGAGGCCTTTCGTGTTAAAGATATAACCAGGATCTCGCTCATCCACCAAACTAGAACCTAGAAGGCAAAGAAGGAAGAGGGCTAAAGACCAACAGGCTAAGCCCACTCAACATTTTCAGAAAGATAACATGGACCAAAAGAGGCAGGATTTGCCTAAAATGATGTAATGAATTAGGAAAAGAATGAAGTTCAGAACTCAGGATAGTCACTCTAATGGCCTTTGTTTCCAAGGCTTACTCCACAGACTCTCTGCAGACCATCAAACCCCTTTCTGTTGTTCTCTTCCCCTTCCCCTGCCTCCCTGTGGTCCCTCAGTCCAGCCATCCACAGCCTCCCGCTGGCTACAATAGTCCCAATTGCACCACCTTCCCTCTTTGATCATCTCAGGCTCACTCTGCCTCCATTTTCTTCTTCTCCTGACCTGGTAATGCTATGCAGCAGCTGCAACGTCAATTATAGTGTTCTCCCTCTATGACAGCAGCTAAAGGAAATCATAGGTTACTTTCAGCAGTGGACCCCTGCCTTCCCAATAAGGGAGACTATTCAAACATGCTAAGATCACGTCTCTCGGATCATACCATATTGCCAGAGTCTGTCCACTGCTCTGGAGTTCCTTGAGAGCAGGGGGTCAGCCCTTGTTCATGTCTAACTCCAGCACTTCGTATAGTGTAATTACTAATTAACATCTGCTGAATGAGCAAATGAGTCCCAGTTCATTCTCTTCCTTGGGTCCTTTCCTGACTTGAGTGTGAAGACTCCATTCTACTCATTCTTGGCCAGGCTCAGACTCTGCCCAGGCTGCCTGAAGTGCTCATCTGAATGCCAAGAGCCACCTGACACCTCAATGCCAAGTCCCCATGTTCCTATAACACCAATATGGGCTCGTGAATATCTCCCCTAACTTAGAGTCCTTTCCTTTTTTTTTTTTTTTTAAACGGTGGTGTCCTATAACACCCATAACAGCTCTGTGGTTTCAGAATGCAAGGCAAAAGGACATTATGCAAAACAGGAAGAAACTTTGAAAGAAAAATTTAAAGGCATTTTTAGAATGCACCCTGTCATGGGGCCAGGCCATTATTGAACCCCTTGCCAAGGCCTCTCCTATGACCTTTAGGTCCACATTGTGGGGCAGGAAGGACTCTAACTTCATACCATATTTGTCACACTGCTGACATAATCCTGCCCCTTTCCTCAGTGCCTCACCCTAGTTCTCTAGGCTCTGTGCCAAATGACCCCTGGCAGACCAAACTGCCCCTCAGAAGAGAATTTAGCTCCACTGAGAACATTCAGAAGGGTGTAACTTCAAAATATGCTCCTTGGGTAGCCTGTTACACTGGTCTGAGGGTTTTTTAAACTAACCAAGCAACCTGAACAAGCCCTGAGACCCACGCTTGGTTGTGTCTGAGGCTTCTCCCTAAGAGAATTCCTGTAAACCTATAGGTGCCCATTCCATGGCCCCTTCCCAAATCTCAGGACCACCTGGATGTGGGGGAGCTATGCTCGTATGTTTTAGAATCTGATTTCCCAGCT